AAATCAATTAATAAAAATTTAAAAATATACTAATAATATTTAACTAATAAAATATAAAATATACTAATAAAATTTCATTATATTACATTACTTCCTTCTTAGAAAATTTTACTTTGTAAAATTGTAAAAATTATAAAAGAACTATTGTAATGCAGATACTGTGATCATCACCTGTCAGCAAAGTTTATAGTCCATTAGCAGGTATTGAACTTAAAACTGCTGGCTGCAATCACAAATTATTACCACTCTTCTACAATTGGTAATATGCAAAAATTTTAAATTGTTCTATTTTTGATTGTTAAAATTACAAATTATATATGCCAAAAATAAATATATTAAAAATTATATATGCTAAAACTAAATATTTAACATACTAAATTGTCATCCTAAATGATGTTAGTTAAATGAAATTATGTAGATGGTTTAATTTTTATGTTTAGCGCTTACAGATAATTAACCCGGGTTATCCAAATAATAATAGTACCTAGTAATATACCAACAAAAAAAATGAATATACATATATTTCGTACTGTACGGAAGATAATTTAGTATTGTATTCTATGAAATTTAGAAAAGGTACGATACAGTATGAATATACATATATATTAAAGATAGTTTAATACTGTATTATATAGATTTTGAAATGATACGTATGATACGGTACATTGCTTTTATCATTATAGTAAATACAATAAATGATTAGCGCTTGTAAATCTTATATTGTTATACAATTAATACGTATTACACAATTAAACTACGTATTATTATGTAATCACTTTTTTTATACAAATATAGTCAACGTTGATTTGTAATACATTTCTTCCGCTTATGTACACATACATACGAATTTAACGAAAATAGTTTACCAAATTAGTACATCTATAACAATTAGTTCTGATGACGAGTGGGATAACCTGTTCGATACAAGTCAACATGTTAATGATTCTGACAGCAAACAGGATTTTGATAATATACAAGGTTCTAATAATGATCAAGTTTCTAATAATAAACAGGGTTTTGGCAATGAAAAGAATTCTGATGATGAATGGGATTCTGATTCTTTAAACGAAGTTACTCAAGATCCAGAGAATCCATCTACTATATATAAATTTTATTGATTTTAAAAAACATTATATATATAAAATATAAATTTTTTTTTTATTTTAATATTTTATTTTGGTGCAGTGGAAGTTTGATGAACAAATTATTTTGAATACTAAAGAAATTCCAGAAAATACTAAAGAGATCGGAAAGGTACATACACATCTACGTATAAATCATCTGCTAGAAAAATCACTGTTTAGCACTTGCTTTAAGCGATTTTCTTAGCAAATAATCTATATATGTATATCGCATAACAAAATTTTAACCAAATTTTATTATTAATATAGCCACGATTAACCAAATTGGGTAAATCAAATGCAGAAATCGTGGCAAAGGTCAAATATCGTCTTGAATTTGAGGAATATCCAGAAACTTCTGATAATAGAGTTGCCTGTATCTATAACGTAGCTGGCATGGACCCTGAAAAAGCACTTGAAATTTTTGACCTTAAGAATATACAATATTCATACAAAGAAGGAACTGCTCGTAAAAGTGTCTATTGCCCTTTTTTAAAAATAAAAGTTTATAAAAAGACACAGGCTTGCCGTAGTATTAAAATATGTCAATTTGCTGCGTCTGAACTAGTAACAATGATACATACATCTGTGAACTTTGATGATAACCTTTTCAAAAAGATATTTGATGCAAATGAATTGTCTTTAGATACAAATACTTTAAAGTAGATATTAATATTTAATATTTATTTTTTATATGTATATAATGTATATAACTATTAAATTCTATAATTATTAGTGCATTTGCCGTAGCACATAAAACTTCATGTGGGTTTATTCATTCTCATACTAGAATTCGTTGTGATGGCAAGCCTAAACTTGAAAAACATTATCAGGTTTTGTAAATTGTTAATATATTAACCTTGTTAGTTTATTAATTAAATAATATATATAATTTTATAGCACGAAGATGATACTTCAGAGCCCACTTATTTTATTGGTTGTGAAAAATTTAGAAATGGAGAACATGGTCACCAGTATCAAAGTTTGTCTGAACAAATTAATATTAGATATTTAAAAAGGCTTTTTCAAGAGCATACATATTATATCGACGGAATTATAGGAGAGGTATTTATTTTAATTTAATATTTTTTGAACTTTTTGTATTATTACAAGGACATCATTGATTTATAATTATTAAATTTTTTATTAATAAATAAAAACCAAAATATATATATTTAGGTTTCAAATTTAGTTCGATATTGCTATTTAGTATATCCTTTTAGTGCGCGAGCAAAAAAATGCTGTAAGTAATTTTATTAATATATATTAAAATATATATTAACTAATTTATATTTATTTAATTATATATTAACTAATTTATATTTATTTAATTATATAGCTTATGTTTATATTACTAAAAATAACAAAGTTGCACAAGAATTAATTCAAAAAAAACTTGGATATCCTGTTAAATTTTGGCATTATGTGTCTGAAAACCTCAAAGAATGCCCATATATTATAATTATGTCATGATATACTCATAATCATCCTCCACCACCGCTATCTAAAATACCAGCTGCGATTCAAAATGATTTAAAGAGCATTATAGAAGAAGAAAATATTTTGGATTTAACAGCTAGAAGATTAATTACTTGTATGTATTTCTCAAGCCTAAGATCATACAAAATTTGATTTTTTTTCAATTTGCATTATCTGGTATTTTGAAGTTCCTGTTAGGCAGTCGGATATTTTTTTTTATTAATCCAAATTAAAAAACTCATGCTCACATTAGGGGTGCCGAATAATTAATTGCAATTAAATTCTACTACAAATAAAATCTGCTACAATTGTAATAAAAAACAATTGTAAAAAATTGATTGCAGAATTTTGTTTTCACTGTATATATATACGATAAGATTATTTTTTAACTAAATCAAGATCGTACATCAATATCACTAATGCAAATGTCTATTATTACATGTTTTATCATTTTGCAAAACTCGGTAAAATTGCAATTAATTGATTGATTGTGGCTGCAATTAATTGCTCTACAATCAATTATTCGGTAGGTCTGATTCATATCTAATTCGTGAGTTTGACATAACCAGTTTTTTTAATATTTAAGGCTTTCTTAAAAAGTATTTTAGTTGTTTAGGTATTATAGTATGACTTGCTAGATATTATATAGACGTTACCCCGAAATGCCAATAATATGTTCTTATTCATTAAATGTCTTTTATCTGAAATTAGGTTCTGCAAGTGCTGGGCATATACTATTAAAAATAGTATCTGTAGCACTATGTTTTTAATAGTACATATCTATGCTTGGCACTTGCAGAACTTTACTCAAAATGTTTTATATAAAATAGATTCAATAAAATTATTAAAATAAATATTATCCATGTTTCAATTAAGTTTTTGAAATATTTGGGTTGGCGATAAT